GCCATTCCGACCCCCTACGGCTAGTCGCTCTGCAGAACAGCCAGGGTGACCCTTTCCCTCTCTCTCCCTCTCTCTCTCTCTCTTTCTTCCTTCCTTTCTTTTTTGAGAGACTTTTGCTGCTGGGTGTGTACGTTCCCCAGAGAGACAGAGATAGAAAGCGAGAACTTGCCCCCTGGGGGAATGGCCACGCTGCAGTCTCTTCTCCATTCTCCTGTCGGGACTCTGGGCACGCACGTATACAAATGCAGTGTGAATATCAAGCCACTGGATCCGGGACTCGAACCGCGGTCGACTATGAGGGAGTCCAGTGATGTAACCATCACACCATCCGCGGGTCCCCCAGGGTGACCCTGGCCTACAGCGACTGCCGTGGTCTAGGCCCTCCCTCCCATCTACACTGTCACCACGAAGGCAGGAGAAGGCTGTCCCCTCTGTGTCCTCTGTGCTCAGCCAGACCGCCTGCTTCTCCCCACCCGGCACCCGAGCTGGCCTCTTGCCTGCTGAGTCGTGGCCACGCCTGGGGACTGTCTCTACACAGCAGCCTTCGCTGGGTCCGCCTCAGTCCCCCTGTGGCTCTTGTCCCCGCTCTGCCCCCAGCCCGGCCCTATGTCTGGCAAGGGTCAGATGGGGTCCTGTGGGTGAGTGGACAACCCAGGACGTGACACCAGGCCCAGAGGCCAGCCTGTTGGAGGGCGTAGGCCGATGCCGTTTGCGGCCGTGACACTGCCCACCTGGCTGCCTGTGTCCCGCTCTAGGTCCTGTCCCTGGGTCTCTCCCTCTCCCCTCCTTTCCCTTCCCACTGTCCCCTCTGTCTCTTCCCTCAAGTCTGGGCTTCCACTGCCCCTTCCCTCCCTCCCTCCCTCTTCCCTTCCTCCCTTCTGTTGCCACAGGGCTTGAGCACTCCTCTCAGACAAGCGTTCTTGTGCGGCATGGTCCTGCCGTAAGCCCTGCTCCTCTCCATCCCGTGGGAGTGTGGGGCGTAGGCGCACACGCGAATGTTCCGAGCCAGCAGGCTGGATTAAAGCACGCTCAGCCGTGTGGGACTGGATCCAGTCCCTTACGCACAGGCCCGAACTCCGTGCCCCGGCTGATCCTTGCTCCAAAGCTTCAGTGCCTCTCACCATGGAGAAGTGAGGCAGTAGCACCTGCCTGCACCGGACCTGTGCCCACTGCTGCACTCCATGTGCGGCTCGGCCCTGCACCGGCTGGACGTCTGAGGTGCCTGTCAGGGGGCTGGGACGCACCTGGCCGGGCTGGCCCTGGGGACTTCCCAGTGGGGGCTCACGCTCTTGGGCAGGCCCTGGGCAAACCAGGCACACAGGCCTGGAAGGGCCAGGCAGAGGGGTGGCTCCGGGTGGCGCAGCCTAGCCCTGCAGTGGGCGGCTGAGCCCTGGCCTGCCCCCTGTCACTGTGGCCCCAGGCCCTGGAAATTCCCGTCACTGTTTACCACTTCCTCCGTTCAGGGGTCACTGCCCTACGTGCAATGAAGCGGGCCCGGGCCCTGGCGGGCGCTCTAATAGGCCTGGCCTTCCTGTCACTGCTGTCGCCTGGATGTCCTCAGCCGACTGCGGACGACGCCTGCTCCGTACAGATCCTTGTCCCCGGCCTCAAAGGTAACACTCGGCCCAGCAGTCGGCGGCCTCCGAGTGGTTCTGGTTGACACACGCCAGGCGGTTGGGTGGGAAAGATAAGTTGGCAGGTGGCCGGCCCCTGGACGGACCTGCTCACTGCCCGCCTGGGTCCCCAGCTGTGAGTCAGGGCCGGGCTGCAGCCCGGGGAAGCTGCCCGAGCAGGCGCGGAGCCCTGCAGGAGCCAGCATCGCCGCGCACGGGCCCTCACAGCGTCCTCCTGGGGTGGGGTGCCTGGTCGGCCGTTTCACAGATAAGGAAAGTGGAGCTAGACTTGACCGAAGGCCTCACGGAGCACCCCCTGCCGGCTCAGGCCACTCTTGCTATTCTCTTCCTCTCTCTCTCTCTTTCTCTTTCCTAAGAGAGATTTTTGCTATAGGGTGCATGTGCACTCATTGGAGAGACAGAGAGGGAAACAGAAAGCGAGAAATCACACTCGGGGACAGCCAAGCCACAGTCCCTTCTCCATTTTCCTCTTGGAACTTTGGGCACACACAAGTCCCGTGTGAGTTTCAAGCCGCCAGGTTCGGGACTCAACTGTGGTCGACTACACAGGAGTCCAGCGATGTAACCATGGTGTCATCTGCTGGAACTATTTATTTATTTTGAGAGATTTCTTTAGTTAGGGCACATGTGTTCACTGGAGAGACAGAGAGACAGAAGCAAGGAATTGCCAGCCTTGCCGCAGTGCCCCCCCCCCAGGGTTTTGGGCACACACACACATGTACCTGCCATGAGTTTTAAGCCACCAGATCAAGGCTCAAAATGTGGTCAGTTACGTGGGAATTCAGTGACCAAACCATTCCGCCACCTGCTGGTCCCTATTTATTGTTTCTTTTTTTTTTTCTCTCTTTTTATTCTTTTTTTTTTTTTTTTTTTTCCCGGGGGGGTGTCCTTTTGTAGAGAGAGACAGAGACAGTGAGAGGGAAAGTGAGAAATCATACCTCAGGGGGGATGGCTACCCTGCAGTCCTATCTCTTCCATTCTCCTCCTGAGATCTTGGGTATGCATACACACGCCTGGTGTGACTATCAAGCTGGCGAGTCCAGGACTCGAACCATGGTTGGCCATGTGGGAGTCCAGCAACGTAACCACTGCACCCTCTGCTGGCCCCACATTCTCTGTTTTAAAATAAAAAAAGAACGTTTTGCTTGTTGCTTTGTTTGCAATTTGCTCCCAGAGAGATGCAGGTCTGCAGAGTGGACATGGGGCGGCCGCAGCCTATGTGCCGGGCCAAGGCTGCCGTCCGGGGCTCCGAGTGTCTCCACTTCTACAGAGCATGAGCTGGAGGCTCCCAGCAGGGCGGGCTACAGGGTTCGCAGGGCCCACTGCAGAACGGGCGTGTGGGGCTGTTCACCTGCCAGTCAGGGATCCGAGGTGGGGGCAGAGCCTGCGCCATGAGCCTGGCCCCTCGCTGCGGGAGAGGGCGGGCAGGGAGGTGGCCTCTGACTCAGAGAGGCTGAGGACCCGCAGGTGGCCTGTGGTCACTTTCACACCAGGCTCCGTGCTGGGGATGGAGGCATTGCCCTTTCCTCAGAGCCCTGCTGCTCAGCCCAGGACGCAGAGGGTGGCGTCTGGTCCTCGAGACATGGCACACCCCCTGCCACCCTTTGGATCTAGACTTGGCTGTGAACGCTTTGCTTGGGCACAGACTCCAGGGCTGGTGAGCGGTGGGGAGTGCGGGGCAATCTGCCCAGATCCCAAGCTGATAGGAACAGGCCGTCTTCCCACCCGGAGAGCGACGCTCGCTGCGGCCAGGTGGGGTGCGCATGTCCGCGCGAGCCTGCTGCGCACAATGTGAGGCTTCGGTACCCTTCTGGGTCCCATCCACAGTGAGTCATCGGCCGCCATCCTCAAGCAGAGCGAGACTGCGGTGGCCCCGGAGCACACGCGTGGTGTTCGCGCGCTGCTACACCTGCCTTTCTGTGTCTGGGCCACCTCCACTTCCGCAGAGCAGGCAGGGGTGTGGGCTGTCCCTGTGTCCGCCTCGCCTGCACTGTGCTGTTGTGGCGTTCCCGTCCCTCAGCCCAGGCTGCGTGCCGCGTGTCAGGAGCAGGTGCACGGATGGTGGAGGAGAGCCCGGGCCTTCCTCAGCTGGCTGCGGGCAGGGCGCAGCGTCTCCTGTTCTGCGTGGGAAGAACTAGCCGGAACCCACCCCGATCCACCCAGGTCACGGATCGTGCATGATTCGCAGGGCCACGGGCAAGTGGGAAGACCAGGCGCCTTCCTTTGTTCTTTGAGAGAGGAGAGAACAAGACTTTAAAAAACGTTGCCAGAGAGCGCGTGGAGGGGTGAGGGAGTGAGAAAGCACCCCCCCACCCGCGGAGGGCGGCCAGGCCGCAGTCTCTCCTCCATCCCGCAGTCTCTCCTCCATCTCGCAGTCTCTCCTCCATCCCGCCCGCCGCCGGGATTTTGGACACACGTGCACATGCACATTGGCCGTGAGGGACCCGGCGCCTAACCACCGCGCCACAGGCTGGCCCGCGAGAGGGGGGTTGAAGGCGGC